GGAGACATACTATTATATGTCGTATAGGTCCCATTGGAACAACCAAATGGACCCCTTCTGAGACCTTCCTTAACAAGGTCAAAGAATCAGAGATTCCACTCTTTACCTAACCGAAAGTTAAGCAGTTCAAAGGCAACACAGCATTTAACGTCTGTGCACAAGAAATACAATCTACTAATGACACTGTTAAGAAGCGTCAGTCTCTAGCTAGGACTCTGTTTAATTACATAAAGTCTAAGCCCGAGGTCTTTCAAACCTTATTTTTAAAGGGATTAATGAAAGACAATCCTGAAGCGTATACACATATAAAGCAACTATTTAATAAGTCAGGTGTATCTAACGCACATGAGCGCGATTATGACGCTCATGCAAAAACAGGACAGGAGTCTGAAAACACTACAGACTTAGAGACCACGCAAGTGGATTCTCAACACCCTACCTTTATTCTGGAAGAGCAGAATGATAAAAACATTCTTGCTTGGCTGAAGCAACATCATAAGCTGAAGCACCAGAACGTAGTAGAAGGACTTAAAGATGCTAAGCGACATGGGATCGCGCACCCTAAGCTGGCAACTTTAGTTGACAGAGTATATCAGTCATGCACAGACTGTGATCTCGATCAGATCAAGCGCTATGGGTTCGCAGCGCTCAAGAGTGTGACTGAAGATGTTCCATGGCGCAGGGTCATCATTGATCTGGTTGACCTGCCCACGTCCGAGCACACAGGCGGCCGTTACGTATGCCACTTCTTTGATGTGGCGTCACGGTTTAACTTGCTCTATCCATTAAAGGATAAGAATACGCAGACCGTGGCAGAATTATGTTGCCAAGTCTTTGCTGACCACGGGTGGCCAGGCATTATGTGCACTGATAACGGTAGTGAGTTCTGCGATGACGTAATGGAATCACTAGTACTCGTATCAGGCATATGCCATAAGAGAGGTGTGCCATATAAGCAGCAAACGCAAGGCGCGAATGAAACGCGCCATAGAAGACTTAAGTTCTTCTTGCGTACTGCATTAACGGACGATGCAGATGATTGGCCGTACCACCTTAAGTGAGTACAAACACAGATGAACGAGTGTGCTGATCCGGTTACCGGACCTACACCCGCTCACTATTTTCGTGGCAGATATAGTGAGTTACAAATCCCCTTTAACAAGGACGAACCTGATCACCATGAGTTACCATGGTTATAGAAGGTACAACGTATTTATAACGTTGTATATCCTTGCTTGCGAGAAATACGCAATGTAGCCCTATTAAAAAGGCAAAAGCGTTGGAACACTACCAAGGAGATAGCAGAGTATCAGGTCGGTGACAGAGTTAACATCCGTCAACGTAATTCCGATGCTACTGTATTATCATCTAAATGGATAGGTCAATATATAATCTCTGTAGCAGACACTAAAAGTGGAACGTACGAGGTAAATAACCCCGACGGTTCTAGTGCGCTTAATATACGCACAAGTCGTATTCCGACTACAGAGATTATACTCGCAAGAAGACATGACTCTAATGCCCCTCTTGATCGTTCTGAATTTAAAGACATTATATGGAGAACGGATAAGGGAGGCTATACATACTATTGTACACGCTTTATAGACGGTACAATTGCTGAGTTGACTTCAGATGCTTTCGATATTCAAGACTA